TCTTCTTCTGAAGGTATCTATCGATTCAAGTATTTTTTCATGACTTTGGGGATTTATGTTTCCACAGCAGTTGGGTTGTTAACAGTCTAATCAGAGATGTAAAGACGTAAGAGCTCCAAAGTATAAATTATATTTGGCATAGTTTGTCATGATTAATAATAGAATAGTTGAAGGCCTTAAAGATTATTTTGACCTTTCTATCACTGAATCTTTTATTCTAAAGAGGATGTTTTCATAATGGAGTGAGTTTATTGACTGAATTGAAGTTCATCTTGATATAGTATAATAGATTAAAGAATTTATTTCCAATTTGTGATTTTTATCTCAGTTTTTGAAAAGGTTATTTTTCTATAGCACTATTCTAGGAATAGAAGTGGTACATTTTCACTTGCTGCCATTGGTTATGTGAATAATGCCTCTAGGAGGTGGTCTGGGCTGCTTATTACACTGTTCCTGAGATTACCACTGAACTTGTGCCCTACTTGAAGATACACTTAAAAATACTGAGGTCATTTTGTTTAAAGAGCAGCTCATATTTGAATATTGAAGGAGTTAGCTGTGAATATGACTATCTAAGCCAAGTTTGTGATCGAACTATAGCGAAATGGTTAGGAATATAAAGAAAAAGTATTACTGGGTGGTATAGTTTTTTTTTTTTAATATGCAAAACCACCTAAGTGAATTAAACTCGGGGTAGAAGACAACTATCCAGACATTGTAGCCAGCGCATCTGCATCTTTCTACTGACCATGGTAAAGCACATTGTGAACATTACCACTTAAAACTAACTTTTCTCTTTAAGGGCTCCTGAAATTGTGCCAGCTGACTCCAAGTCCACCCTGACCCCACAGCATAAACCATGCTGTCATGTCACAGCTACCATAGAACTCCAGGGTAGTGTTGAGCTGGCCCATGTGGGCTCAGGTAAGTCCTGGCTTTTTTTTACCATTTGGCATTCTTTTCAAAGTTAGTTACGATTATGATTTTATGTCATAAAAGAAAATAAGGCAAAACTTTGAAAACTGTGCCATATATGGGGGAAAAAATAAGTCTGTTTTCTAAACATCTATGAGCCAGCTCCATATTCTAACCAACGGAGTTCCATAGTAGCTGTGAAGTCCCCAGTGAGTTGTGACCTGTGGCTTCAAAATATGTTAAATTCCACTCCTGGCCCAGCTTCTAGGACAATATGAACTTTTTTTTTTTTTTTTAAACTTTATAGTTTGTAAGACGTAGTAACTTTCATTTACTCTTAGGTCTTAATGTTTTTAAAAGTATATTAACACTTTGCATTATCTGTAATTATGCACCACTGCTTAGTTGGTTGTGTATTTCATTCAGTCAGTTTTGAGTGTATGATGATACTGTAGGTTAGTTTTATAAAGTTAATCTCAGAGTGTCTTCAGCTGTCCTTTTAATTTGCCTTCATAGCACGGAAGAAGAAGGGACAGAACATGTAATAGACATTTATTAAATTTTCAGAAAACATTACAAGAAAGACGCTTCAGTTACTCTCTTGGAGGCAGTGTGAGAGGTCAGTAACTAGGAAGCATGTATATATCACCTCTTCCATTGGAATTGTCCTGGTTTTTCCTGGTCGTTGTTACACGAAGTGAGATTTTATCCCTTGTGTTTATTTTGCTGTCTTTTCCTACCTCTCAGCTCTTCTCCCGTCTTGCTACTTTTCTTTATCATACCCTGATATTAGAGGTGGTAAAATTTTATGTGAAGAACTCAAAAGACATTTTGTAAGTTGTTCTGCGTATAATCTTATACTTTTTTCCCCCTAAGTAGAAAACATTTGGTAGCTAAAGCTTTACCTTATCTGAGTATGGGCCAAATCCTTTTAAATACCTTGTTTACAGTGAAAACCCATCTGTCAAGAAACTGTGGACACGTTAATCAATAGCTGTCTTTGAACAATGTGTCATAAAGATAGACTAAACATTTGGACTGTTCAGCGACAGTCTCATGAAATTTATAATAAATGTACTTTGTAGCTGAAAACTCACTGGTAACTGAAACTAAGTTCTTTTTTTTTTTTTTAATTTTCACTCTTTTTTTTTTTTAAGATTTTATTTATTTATTTGAGAGAGAGAGAGAGCACGAGAGGGGAGAGGGTCAGAGGGAGAAGCAGACTCCCTGCCGAGCAGGGAGCCCGATGCGGGACTCGATCCCGGGACTCCAGGATCATGACCTGAGCCGAAGGCAGTCGCTTAACCAACTGAGCCACCCAGGCGCCCTAATCACAGTTAATGAAAAGAGTGGAATCCTATGTTTCCAAAACATTAGATAATATATTTTTCTTTAAAATATTACTTTGTGCCTATACTTATGTTTGTGTTTTTCATGTTCTAGAAGATGTGGAGGATTTTATGTCGTAATGAATAGAGCACAAACTCTCTATTCTCTTCATCCTCATTTTCTGCCCTCCTGGATTTGCTCCATTCTGGGGAGCGGCAGCATACCCTATCTGCAGTTCAGTGCAGAGTTTGGGGTTGAAGGAAGTAATTGTTTTAGTATTTTCGATTTGGACGAATAGAAGTCATGTTTTTTTTTATATATGTATCCTCTTTATTGAGCTAGAATTCATATACTGTGCAGTTCACCATTTGAAGTTCTATTCGTATTTAAAAAAAAAATGCTTAATTTGAAGGCAGACTGACATTGTAAATCATAATTCCAAAGCACAGTTCGCCAACTTGTGCTATTTGGTCTGTTACCCCCCTCCCCCTTGATTATGTTAGTTAGTTTCTAATCATAGAAATTCCTCACAAACATGACAGAGGAAATGAATTCTTAAGCAAGACCTTCTAAGATGAGATTCTTCCAGATACCAGCTATATGGTGAGTTAGCTAAAAATAGTGAAGACAGTGATTTAGAAGTTGCTTGGCAGTCATCTTTGTCTTTGAGAAACAAAAGAAGGTGTGTGTGCGTGGGCATGCACGTGCCTAAATAGGTACACAGATGTATACATGTTCTGTGCAGGTCTTCCTCTGTATCTTCTCAGGTAAATTGATCAGTCTTTTTGGTCCTTGGGTGGCTTTTCTTATGTCATAAAGAAGTTTTATAAATATATTTTATAAATAGATATTTTACAGTTAAAAACCTGTATAAGGGGCAGTGATACTGAAGGCACCCAGAATAGTGACAGCTTTGATAGGACTAACATGAAAAGCAGTTGCCTTCATACGGAAATACATGTACAGGGAAGGAAACAGAGCAGGGCATATTTAGTTCTAAAGAGATGAACTACATTAGATTATTCATAAAGTTACAAGCTCTCTCTGATTATTCTCCTCTGTTATTAAAACAAGCAGAAATTTTAGAGTTCTTTGCGTACTTGACTCTTTAACCATAGATTTGTTTTTATTTCAAGTAGGGCTTTCTGTGTCTGTTTTTAAGGCTTGCCCTTTGGAGAAGATTCCTGCCAGCCGTATCACGTTTTAGCCCTGATGACTTCTCCAGGGCACTGGGCCTCCTAAGGGTGTGTTAAAGCCCTTTCCATAGTGGGGGTAGTACACAGTGACAGCTGCGCTTAGGCATTTCTAGTGAAGAATGTATTAACCTATGTGGCCATGAAAATAAAAGTTCCTGTAATAAGGTGTTCTCGTTTGATATCATGGATTTCTTCACCTGAAAAATGTCTGTGTCGGCGGCAGGGTGTCCTTTTATGGGGGAGTGGGTCTAGATTTGCAGAAAGGATCTTTGGCCACAGAGTCTGAAAACTTTTGAAGCTGGCCTTTTATGGTCCACAGATGGGATGAGAAAGGACTTTTGAGTATAGGAATCATGTTTGTACTGTGTTTCTCACATTGCCTCGCACAGTGCTTTGTATGTCATGGGTGTTCAGTGAACATGGGAATTATTTTAAAGTTTTGCTATTTTTAATAACTGGGAGAAATTGTTGCATTGTACCAATCTGTTATACTCCAAGGAGTAGCTCTTATTTCTCTAATTCTTAATTCAAGATGGCAATTAAAAAATGGTTCTTTAAAAAATACACTAAGAATATTTTTAGCTGGTATTAGCATTTTACCCAACAAACAAATTTTTCCTGATATAACTTAGGATACACTTAAAATTATTTGGTCCTTCAGTCGTGTGTGTGTGTGTGTGTGTGTGTGTGTGTATGTATGTAACACTATTTGTGGTTAAATTTGAAGCTCATCTACACCTTTATATTTGCCAGGGATATTTATTCATAAATGTGTACTGTACTGCTTAGTAAATAGGATTACTGTCTTCACCTAATATTAATTTGTGTTAAGTTTAGTAACATGGGTTGGTGGAACAGAAAGTTCTTTATGGATTGGGAAAAATGATATTTGTTTTATCTCTCTACCCCCAACTGGTTTGTAATGTTTATTTTAGCATATTTTTGTTCTAACTCACCTGGTTCAAGTTTTACTGTATTAATACTTAATAAGTGTGAGGAAGACTTGGCTTTGAGAGGTTCTGAAATCAAAATGTTGCTAACTTTAACTTATATTGAAAATGGTTTTAATTGCTCTGAATTGTTTCATACCTAAACAGCAATATGGAAGGCTCAGCATCTGTTTTGATTCAGCTTAAAAAGTGCAGTTGTAAAGGGCAAGAGAGCCCAAAGCCAACAGGAAGGACGTTCCCGTCTCCTTGGTTTCTGCAGAGTCAGGGCCAGACAGGAGTTTAGTGTCTTCTGTAAAGTTTAGTTTCTCAGACTAGGATTACTGATCTCTTTGATCCAATTAATACATTCTAATGATTCCTCTAAGCCTCGAGCATGGAGCCAGCGCTGATGTGAAGGTAAGTACCTAAATAGGTAGTTCTAGTTCTGGAAAGAAATTAAAGGGAGAGGAATACACCAGTTTTCCTTAATATTTAGAACATTTAAATATGTTGTCCCAGGGTCCAGAAATCCTAGAGAAACACTTAAAAGGGTTTAGAGTGAATGCAACAGGTTTATGCTTTTGGAAGAAAAATAGAAATAAACTCTTTTCTATCTTGCTGCTTGTTCTAGGGGTTGTGGAAGGTGACTTAGCTGCTATAGAAGCGTACAAGTCATCAGGCGGGGACATTGCGCGTCAGCTCACTGCAGATGAGGTGCGCCTCCTGAACCGCCCTTCTGCTTTTGATGTTGGCTACACTCTCGTACATCTGGCTATACGCTTTCAGAGGCAGGATATGCTAGCAATACTGCTTACAGAGGTGAGTATGGCACTTTGGTTAAACGTTTTATGTGACGGAAGTGTGTTCATTAGTTTTCATTTTTGATGTAATGTTTTTCTAAACTGTTCTTAAATGTTTTGTATTTCTTTTACTCCCTTTGTAAATTCACACTAAATTGAGACTTCCAACAGTATATAATTCCTAAAGGTATTATGCTTTTAAAATAGAACATTTTGCCACAAGATTTGAATCATCAGTTTGATTAAAAAAAAAAACACTAGGATGTATCTTTCATTCATTCATTTAACCAATATTTATTGAGTACCTACTGTGCTAGATATGGTGCTAAAAAGGGATATAATTGTGAAGACATTGGCTCTTCCTTCAGTGCATATCCAGAAAAGTAGAGAAATAAACAGGTAATTCCGTACAGAGTGTGTTCTCATAGATGTAAATGCCAGGTGCTGTGGGAGTACTTGAGAACGTGTTTTGGGGTATCTTACCTTCTTCTTACCTAGAGTAGGTAACATTGTAGTGGAAATCCGAAGGAGAAGTAGGAGTTAGCCTCATAAGTGGGTGGAGGAGAGACGGAAGTTGAGGAAACCATTTATTCAGAGGCCCTGGTGGTAGTGTTTGTGGTGAGGTCAGGCACTTGCAGGTACTCAGCATGCCTGTGGTGGTGATTGGGAACTGGGAAGGGAAGCATTGTGAAGGATGATCTAGGCCAGGGAATTGGAAGATTGTTCCTAGGGCAGTGAACAGGCTGTGCAGAATGTTAGGGAGAGGGTCAGGGGAGTAGCCAGATCAGATCAGAGTGTTCTGACTTCTGTTGACGGGAGAGGGGGGAGCCTGGGTAGGGTAGCACTGTGTGATGCTGGTGATGCTGGCAAGCGCTCTGCTGGTACAGGAGTGGCAGTGGCAGTGCAAGGAGGTGGGCCGGCTGGAGAGGGCTGGGGGGGGCGGGGTCAAGATTGAGTGGATCGATGGGATGTGGGGAGAGGGGTCAAGTTGGTTCTGAGCGCTTGGGCTTAGATAACTACGCAGGTGTCACAAAGGATTGCAGGTGAACGATTCAGGATGTGACCATATTATTCAGGTAATTCTTTTAATGGTAAGAGATACAGAGTGAGAGTGCAGAGAGATCAGTTGTAGATTCAAATTTTGTCACTATACGTCTTCTGTGGTATGCATATGCATATTTGCATATTCAAATTGGCCAATATTGGGAACCATTATGTACAAAGCACTGGGAGGGATTAAGGAATGTGAAGGTTACCTGAAACCATGATTGAAATGGCTAGCCATTGTTCAGTTTGCTAAGAGTCCAGTGACGCCAGAGGCACCAAAAAGAGGAAGGGAAGGGCTTGAGCGATAGTCATGTGAAAACAAGGGGCAGGCTTACTGTGGATAGAAAAAGGGACTGTTTGAAAAGCAGCAGTGTTTTAAGAAGGGCCAGAGTTCTGGAACAGGGGATGGAACAGTTAGAGGTAGTTTCTGTAGGATTTGAGGTCTGGCTGTATTTGCGTTGTGTATTGGCAGGGCCAGTGTGTAGAGCTGTAGTTGCTGGTGGTGGCAAGAGGCAGGACAGAGAGGGCGGCTGTGAATCAAGGCTCAAGTCCTTTGGGGGGGGGGTTCCTGGACTCCCCTCCGCCTGGCAGAGGGCTGTGAGAAAGTTGGAGGGGATTAAGTCACTGATCTCCTAAGAGCATCTGGGGACTAACAGTGGGAACTGTTTACTGCCCAACAGATCGCCTCCATTTAGCAGCTTTAGACAACAGTTGTTATCTTCACCCAGTTTCTGAGTGTAGGGAATCTAGGAGCTGCTCTGCTGAATGGTTTTGGCTCAAGGTCTCATGAGTTTACAGTCACATTTTCAGAGCTGCACTTGTCAAAAGGCTTGACTGGGGTGAGAGGATCAGGTTCCAAGCACACTCGCATGACGGGTGGCGGGAGGCTTCAAATCCTGGTCATGTGGGCCCCTCCAGAGGGCAGGTCTCACCAGAACAAGTGATCCGAGAGAGGGGGCACGAGAGATTGATCCACATGGAAGCTTCAGGGTCTTCTAGATGGAACCTAATTTAGGAAGCGACATACCATCATTTTTGCCATATTCTCGGAACACATAGACCAACCGTGGTGCACTATGGGAGAGGTGGGAGCGGGGTGGATTTCCAGGGAAAGAACCAAATTGGGTGTGGAATGTCATCTCAGTGGAGTGGGCACTCCAGAGGACAGAATTGAAGGGGCCGGTAGGGAGATTGGACTAAGTAAGGGATGTGCCTGCAGAGAGAGCACAGAGCTAAGTATTTCTGGGTTGAGACTAGGAGAACATTATATTTTGGGGGATATGTATCTGGGGCAGGGTTGTTTTTTTTTTTAATATTTTTTAAAATTTATTTGACAGAGACACAGCAAGAGAGGGAACACAAGCGGGGGGAGTGCGAGAGGGAGAAGCAGCCTTCCCGCGGAGCAGGGAGCCCAATGCGGGGTTCAATCCCAGGACCCCGGGATCATGACCTGAGCCGAAGGCAGACGCTTAACGACTGAGCCACCCAGGCGCCCCTGGGGCAGGGGTTTTAATTGGATTTTAGGTCATGGACTCTGTTGGTAGTCTGGTGGAACCTATGAACTCCTTTTTCATAATACTGTTTTTTAAATGCCTAAAATAAAAGTAGGATTGCAATGGAAATCAATTATATTGAAATGATAGTTTTTTCAGAATATTAGATTTGTGATAGGTAAGAGAATGCATTTTAAATATAGACAGGAGAGGGGCGCCTGGGTGTCTCATTTGGTTAAACGACTGCCTTCGGCTCAGGTCATGATCCCAGGACCTTGGGATGGAGCCCTGCATCAGGCTCCTTGCTCAGCAGGGAGCCTGCTTCTCCCTCTATCTCTGCCTGCTACTCTGCCTGCTTGTGCTCTGTCAAATAAAAAAAAAAAATCTTAAAAAAAAAAAAAGGAAACTGTTAAAAAAATATAGACAGGAGGTCAGTGAAAATGAAGTATTTAAATTTTTTTTGAAGATTTTATTCATTTGAGACAGATAGCATGGGCAGGGGGAGAGGCAGGAAGCCGACTCCTTGCTGAGCTGGGAGCCCCACCTGGGCCTCCATCCCAGGAACCCAGATATCATGACCTGAGCCGAAGGCAGACGCTTAACCATCTGAGCCACCCAGGCGCCCCTGAAGGATTTAAATTTAATGAAAATTCCCATTCAGGTTCACAGGTCCTTCCCAAGTTCATGTGCCCTAAGTTAAGAATTACTGGCCTGAGGAGATGGTTGAGAGTCATAAGGTTGAAGCGGCTAGAGATAAAGGGTAGGGAAGGTTGTCCGGGTTTGTGGCTTTGGTCTGTAGTGACAACAGAGAACAGAGCTGACTGGTTCACTCAGGGTTCACACCAGACTCATTTCCTCTCCAGCAGATACCTTTGATTTCAGAATTCTTCGTATGCAGTTATCTTGAGCTCCACAAAAGGAATACAACTTAAATATAATATAGTATCTTTGCATTCCTTGTTGGTATCCCTCATGAAAGAGAAAAGGAGTTTCCTAGCCACGCCCTTGCTTAGAAGTTTTCTGTCGTAGTGCTCACTAACTACATCACTGTTCACATTTATTCCTTTAGGCTGGCTATACTTCGAAGGTTTGTTGTCCTACACTTGGAGAAGCCAATTGCTTTTTTTAAATATTCAGAGTTGTAACAAAGGGGGAGGGATTTGAGGTCAGTGGAAACTAACCCTTTAAAAATATCATGCTTTCTTTATTCCATGTCAGGGTACTCGAAGTATTCTTTTTTTTTTTTAATATTATGTTTTGCCTGAATTATTACTATTTTTTAAGATTTTATTTATTTATTTGACAGAGAGACAGCGAGAGAGGGAACACAAGCAGGGGGAGTGGGAGGGGGAGAAGCAGGCTCTGGCTGAGCAGGGAGCCTGACGCGGGGGCTCAATCCCAGGAGCCCAACGCGGGGCTCGATCCCAGGAGCCCGGGATCATGAGCCGAGCCGAAGGCAGACACTTAACGAGTGAGCCACCCAGGCGCCCCCGTACTCGAAGTATTCTTAACCCAGCAGAAGAGTGTTTGTACTTTACTCTTTCTCCGTGAGCTGGAATTTCCTGTTTTTTAAGAATGCTTTTATTGTGGGCATGATGCTTAGTCTTACCTAGGTGGTTTTTTGTGTCCTCCTGCCCTGTCCTAGGATGAACCTTTGTGAACAACACCATTTTACATAAGTTTTTATCTAAATCTTTATATATTTCCTTGGGATAAATTCCTAAGAAGTGAATTTCCAGAGTCAGAAGGTAAAGCATTTTTATGGCTATTTTCCCGGAAAGTTGTACTGAAACATGTTTCCACTGGTGAGGAAGTAATCCCTAATCTGTTTTAAAATTAAACAAACAACACCCTGAGTTACTGGGAAGGTTTGGTAATTTCTCTTAAATACTGTTGTTTTCTGCTTATGTTAATGATAAATGAGATGCAGAGGAAAGTTTCTTTTGTGTTTAAGGTGTCTCAACAAGCAGCAAAGTGTATTCCAGCAATGGTGTGTCCTGAACTGACAGAGCAGATCCGGCGAGAGATAGCCGCCTCTCTTCATCAGAGAAAGGGGGATTTTGCTTGCTACTTTCTAACTGACCTTGTTACATTTACATTGCCAGCAGGTAACTACAAATTTCAATGTGAAAAGAAATGTTCACTTTATTATAATTCTTTTTTTTTAATGTGTGAGTGAAATTGTTTCTGTTAGAAAGCAGATAACTTAGCTACTGTTTGTGCATTTTAAATAATTTGACTACCCTATTTATCCTGGAAGTGACCAGTATAAGGGTTCCTCGTAAACTTATGCTTTGGATCTGGTAGGAAGATAGCAGCTGATAATAACTGACTTCTATGTGGGCCTTAGATGTTTTAAAAAAATCTTTACCCATTTATTTTCTCTTCAGGTTTAGTTTATGATATTGGTATACTTTTTCTTTGCTTTTTCATACCTATTTTAAAATTATGTGACTTTGGTTATTGGTATATTAGCAGATAGGATTAGAACGCTCGCTTTTGATGGGTGGAATCAGATTATTTGAATCAAAAGACACTGGCATTCTTTTGCAAGTGTCATTGTGTTCTTCACTCATTATATTAATTTCTACTATGTTTGTGAAGCAGCTTTTCATTTTTCAATTCAGTGACAATCAGAAATGTATTCCAGGATGCTTTTTGTCATTTGGCACCGAATAAACGCACCAAACATCAGAAGTTTCTAAAATAAAGCTTCCATCATGGTTCTAAGTGTCTTGAACTTTTATATTGACATGAACAGAGGAATTTGCAAATGTTAGGGAGATAATAACTAAGCCTTTTTTTTTTTTAAGATTTAATTTATTTTAGAGAGAGTGAGCATGAGTGGGGTTGGGGAGTAGAGGGAGAGGGCCAGGCAGACTCCACGCTGAGCACTGAGCCCAACGTGGGGCTTGATTTCACAACCCCGAGATCATGACCTGAGCCAAAATCAAGGTCGGACGCTTAACCAACTGAGCCAGCCAGGCGCCCCAGTAACTAAGTCTTTTAAAATCAGACAAAGTTCTGGGGCGCCTGGGTTCTGGGCCTGGGTGGCTCAGTTGTTAAATGTCTGCCTTCGGCTCAGGTCATGATCCCAGGGTCCTGGGATCGAGCCCCACGTTGGGCTCCCTGCTCGGCGGGGAGTCTGCTTCTCCCTCTCCCTCTCCTCCTCTGCTCTCTCTCAAATAATAAAATCTTAAAAAAAAAAAAAAAAGACAAAGTTCACTTGAAATGCACTCTCTGTATACTTAAGCTTACTCTGGTGATGTTTAGATTTTTATTTTGACTTGAAAATAGCCTAATTTTTTTTTTTTTTTAAATTTTAAGGGTAATACTTTTTACTGTAGACTGCTCCATGAGTAAACTGAATAAAGCATGGAGAATTTGAGGAAGATGACAAATACAGGGGTCTGTGTGCCAATAATTAATGGTTCATTAACTTTTATAAGAAAATTCTAAAGTCTGAAAACAATAGGCCTGGGCAGAGGTTGAGAGTGGGGGGAGACAAGGGCAGATAAATATTTGTATGTTGTTACTGTTTCATCATCTTGAATTTCAGATAGCCCTTTTTTTTTTTTTCCCTTTTCTGTTTTACTGAGGGTTAATTGTCCTATAAAATTGTCAAATATTTCAAGTATCCACTGTGATTTCATATATACATATGTGGTGAAAGGGTTTCCCTGTCTAGTTATAACATACCCATCGTCACACATGTTTGGTTTGTTTATCTGTTTTGGTGAGAACATGTAAGTTCTACTCTCCTAGCAAATTTCAGTGATATAATACAGTGTTATAAGATACAGTTACCATGGTTTTGACATTAGGTGTTCAGCCTTATTCACTTTATAGCTTGGAAGTTTCTGTACCCTTTTGCCCATCTCTCTTTTCCTCACTTCCCCCAGCCCTGGCAACCTCTTTTCTACCCTCTTTTTAGGAGTCTGACTTTTTTTAAGAGTCCACATGGAAGTGGTACAATGCAGTATTTGATGTGTCTTTCTCTGGCTAATTCTACTTAGCCTAATGCCCTCATTGCCTTTGTTGCAAATGGCAGGATTTCTTTCTTTCACTTGGCCGAATAGCATTCCGTTTTCTACCCCCCCATCTTTATTCATTCATCCATTATCTATGTCTTGGCTATTGTGAGTAATGCTGCAACACACATGGGAGTTCAGTACCTCTTCATCATCCTATTTTCATTTCCTTTGGATATATACCCAGATGTGGGATTGCTGGATCATGATAATTCTAACTCTTTGAGGAACCACCATACTGTTTTCCATGGTGGCTGCACCAGTTTACATTCCACTAACTGTGCACAAGGCTGCCTTTTCTCCACATCCTCACCAACATTATTATCTCTTATCTTTTTGATAATAGTTGTATGTAAATTATTGGTCCAGATATTATTTTTTAGGTAACAGTTTTGCTAATGAAGTATAGAAAGGAAATCCTTTATGTTACATTTATACACACGCACATTATACGTGTTTTTTTTTTTTTTTTTTTACGAGAAACCACTTGACAGCCTTCACTGGCAGGGGAGTTTTTATTTTTTGTGTGTGTGTGTTTTTTTTTAAAGATTTTATTTATTAGAGCGCGAGTGAGAGAGCACCCTGGCAAGGGAATTATTTTAGGGGAAATCACTATTAGATGCTCGTATCAAATTTATTAAGATATGAGACATAAGAAAATCTTTTAAGTCTGTTTTTTGCTTTGTAGATATTGAAGACTTGCCTCCAACAGTCCAAGAAAAATTATTTGATGAGGTGCTTGATAGAGATGTTCAGAAAGGTAAGTGTGGAATTAATGAATGTGATTTAGTTCAATTTCCATAAACACTTTGCTTTCTAAGGCTTGGAGCAGTTCAGTGTATGGTTGACTTGTTTTATTTTTACTTTAATTGAAAATGGAAAGTCCTTAAGAGCAATGTCACATTGTGCTGTTAAAAACGTTCATTCTGTTAATTGTATCTCGATAAAACTAGAAAAAAAATTTAAGAATGCTCATTCACGGCTCTTAACTGTGATGGAAAAGTTTTTAAGCCTCGGTTTTCTACTTCCTTTTCTAGAATGGGTATATTTCCATGTTAAGCATTCTTCGCAAATAGTAAAGAATTTAGTTGAGAAAATTATTCTAGAGCCACAGATGTTTCAACTACTCAGAAGATTTGTATTTCAGTTGATCAGATTTATTTAGGTGTTTAATAGTACATGACACATAAACTTACCAACATCTAGAGAATGGGTTCTTTCCTCCAATGAATAGTCCTAAATTGCATGAAAATGAACATGTTACTTAAATTCCTTATGTAGAGTTAGAAGAAGAATCTCCAATTATAAACTGGTCTTTGGAATTGGCTACACGTTTGGACAGTCGACTTTATGCGCTTTGGAACCGGACTGCAGGAGACTGCTTGCTTGATTCAGTGCTACAAGCTACCTGGGGCATTTATGACAAGGACTCGGTGCTTCGGAAAGCCCTGCATGACAGCCTGCATGACTGTTCACATTGGTGAGCCGGCATCCTTCCCTGTGTAAAACCAGGCGTGCTCTCGCTGAATCATTTCCTTATAGTGTTGGGATACTTTTTGCTTGTTACATTTTCTGTGGAAGCTAGGGGGAAAACTTTGGTTTCGCACATTGAGACACTTTGAACATTTTGGTGGCTTTTAGACCTTTTTGCTGAGCTTTTAAATAGAAACATTTGAAGTTAAATATTGATAAGGTCTTTGCTCATATTTTTAAGTGTTATGATTCCATATTTTTGTTGAAATTTAAAAGATTATGTTGGCATTATATTACAAGATTTTTTTTTCCTTCCTGAGGCACATAGTCTTCAGACCACATTTTATTTTGCAAATTTTGAGATCCACAGTAAAGTTAAAAAAATATATCAGTGCAACAGATTCTAGTGTTTTCTTCATTAGATGTCCAGTTGTTAACCTTTACCCACATGTGCTTCATCTCTACATATGTAAGCACCTCCCTTTGTCAGTTAGTTTAAGTCATCACGATGCTTTTTCCCCCATCAGTGTCTCAGTGTGCATCTTGAAGAACAAGGATATTCTCCTACCCAGCCAAGTCCTCATTACCAAATCTAAGAAAATCAGCAAGGACTCTGTTATCCAGTATACAGTCCACATTATATCTTCCACTTATCTCAGAAATGTCCTTTCTGTAGACAGGTTTCCCTGCTATCTGAAAGTAGAGCATTCCTGGGAAACCTTTTGTCAGCTGAAATGGCATAAAGCAAAGATGCAGTTACCATCTCGAAGAAGTGAAAATCCTCTTCAGATTTCTTTTCGGCTAGCAAAAACAGGTGCTAATAGAGGTCTTTTGTAAAGGTGAAGGGATACGAAGCAAACTTTCAGATAGTGGGGAATCCTGTATGTATATATACATCTACTTGGGTGGATGCCGGGTTAAAAATATTACCTGGCATCCACCCAAGTATGTGACTGGTCTTGACCTATGGTATTTTCTTGGTTCTGTATATACATCTCAGTTATCATAAATGAAAAAAATTGAGACTGTGAAAGAAGCTAAATTAATTAAAATGTGTTTTTTCCCCCCTCTTAACACCTGATTGAACGCTCACACGATAATGATAATGGCCTTACTCCAAAAAACTTTACTACCCTAGTTCCTGTATGTAATTTTTGAGCACTTACTAGTTGTGAATTTTATTGTCAGTATTTAGGGATTATGTGAAGTCCATTAGAATATAAACTCCATGAAAACAGAGATTTTGTTGTGTTTCATTGTGGAAGATCTAGTGCCTCCAGTAGCCTGACACATAGTAAGTACATAGTAAACATTATTCAATGAAAGTACTCTCTAGAATTTGAAAATGAAAGCAATTTAATCACTTTTTTGAGAGCTAAATTATAGATAAAAGCATAATGCAAGAGAGGAAGAATTTGAGGTCACCTGAAAAAAATTAAAAAGCTCTCTGGCTGGCAAGCCTCGATGTTACCTGATTGGATGTATAATATGTACAGGCATACCTCGGAGATATTGTGGGTTCAGTTCCAGACAACTGCAGTAAAGTGAATATCGTAATAAAGTGAGCCAAAGGAAACTTTGGTTTCCCAGTGCATAGAAAAGTTTAGTCTGTAGTCAAGTGTGCAATAGCATTAGGTCTTAAAAAACTACACATACCTTAATTTTAAAAATATGTCTTTGCTAAGAGACCCTAACCATCATCTGAGCTTTCAGTGAGTCGTAATCTTTTTGCTGGTGGAGGGTCTTGCTTCAACGTTGATGGCTGCTAGCTGATCAGGGTGATGGTGGCTGTTTCTTACGATGACAACGAAGTTTGCTGCATCAGTTGACTCTTCACAAATGATTTCTCTGTAGCATGTGATGCCGTTTGATGGCATTTTACCCGCAGTTAGCGTTCCTTTCAGCTTTGGAGTCCGTCCTCTCAACCCCTGCTGCTGCTTTATCAGCTAAATCGTGCGATAGTCTCAATCCTTTGTTGTCCTCTCAACACTCTTCACAGCATCTTTACCAGGATTAGGTTCCCCTGCAAAAAACCACTGTGCTCGTCCATCCCAAGCAAGTCCTCATCTGTTCAAGTTGTGTACGAGCTCGCAGCGCTTCAGTCCCATCTCCACGCTCCGCTTCTCATTCTAGCTCTCTTGTTCCCAGCACGGCTGTACTGACTTCCTCCACTCAGGTCTTGAACCCCTCCAAGTCATCCATGAGCGTTGGAATCAACTTCTTCCAAACGCCTGTAAATGTTGTTATTTTGAGCTCTTTCCATGAATTAGGAATGTTCTTAGTTGCATCCAGAATGGGGAATCCTTTCCAGAAGTTTTTCAGTTTCCTTTGCCCAGATCTGTCTGAGGGATCAATGTATATGGCAGCTATAGGCTTACGTGGAATAATGGCTTGAAGGTTGAAGTTACTCCTTGATCATGGGCTGCAGAATGGATGTTGTGTTAGCAGGCACGAAACAGTCTGGTTGTCCGTCTCCATCGGAGCTCTTGGGTGATCAGGTGCGTTGTCAGTGAGCAGTCATAATTTGAAAGTTTTTTACCTGAGGGGTAGGCATCAGGTATTTCAAAATATTTAGTAAATTACACTGAAAATGGTTGTGCGGTCATCCAGGCTTTGTTGTCCTTTTATAGAGCAGATTATATTTAGCTCAGTTTTTAAGGGTCCTAGGATTTTCTGAATGGTCAGTGAGTATTGGCTTCAACCTAAAGTCACCAGCTGCATGAGCCCCTTCACAAAAGAGTCAGCCTGTCCTTTGAAGCCAGGCAGTGACTTCTCTTCTCTGGCTATGGGCAGTCCCAGATGGCATCATTTTCCAAGAGAAGACTGTTTCATCTACATTGAAAATTTGTTGTTTAGTGTAGCTTCCCGCATCCCTGATCTTAGCTAGACCTTTGGGAGGACTTGTCGCAGCTTTTCTATCACTTGCCGACTCACTTTGCACTTTGATGTCTGGGTACAGCTTTCCTTAAACCTCGTAAGCCAACGTCTGCTAGCTTCAGGCTTCTCTTTGATAGTTTCCTCATCCGTCTGAGCCCTCATAGAATTGAAGAGAATTAGGGCCTTGCTCTGGAAGTGGTTTTGATATTCTTGTGAACACATGGGCTATTTCTAGTCAATTATTTATACGGTGACCAAATAGTGAATACTATACAGTAATGTAGAAATGTACTGTCTTTGTGTCCAGCATCTCAGATGATTTTGAGTGTGAACTTGTAAACCAATAGTAGACAATTGAAATTGTTCTCATCACTAGTGTTTAAAGTTGTGGTGGAAAACTTGATGGGTGGTGAATGAAATTTTGTGTGAGAATGTGTTAAATGATGTCTGTTAGCAGAAGGTAGGCATTTTTAATTTGAAAATATAGTACAGAGTGGGTAAAATTAATAATTGCTGATCTCTACATGAATTGCTTAAAGACTACATTAAATAAATGATTGGGACATTTATAGAAGGCTTATTTTTTACTGTCTTGCTTTTTCAGGTTTTATACACGTTGGAAAGATTGGGAATCATGGTATTCTCAGAGCTTTGGTTTACATTTTTCCTTGAGAGAAGAACAGTGGCAAGAAGACTGGGCATTTATACTCTCTCTTGCTAGTCAGGTAAGAATGCTTCGAGGCATGTCGCTTCTGTGAGAAAAGTAGGCTACATGCTCTAAATCCTGGATTTACATGCATAAGCTATGTTGGAGGCATTGTGGTATACACGGAAGAGTGCTTGATTTGGCATCAGGTGACTTGGGTTCTGGCCGTGACTGCTGTCTGTCAACTCTATGACCAGAGGCGAGTCCGCACTGCAGGACAGAGGTAGTAACATGTTTCTTACATTAAGTGACTAGAAACGATCAGAATGAAAGTTGTACTGTGTTGATTCCCAGCACTTCTATACTTTTTTCATATCGCTCTTCATTTATATTGTCTTCTTAGGAAGGTGGCTTTATGCCTGTTTTATCTACCTCCTGGTTAGCTCCTGTTCTGTGTCTGAGAGGGCACGGAACCGAGATCGCCGAGCTGGTGGTGGGCACTCTTGTGCTGGTGCTCCGCTGTCAGGCCCGGAGGGTGAAGCGGTCATCTGCGCGAGGCTCTCTCTCCATGTGATGTGTGCCAGGGGGAAGGTGCCATGGCCGACAGGTGGAAGGATTTCTTTAAAATTAACCTGGGAATGAACTTTTAGAAAAATGAATCATGTAGAGTGGTTCCTCTTGGACTCTAGCTTTCATACTAGTTTTATTCCGTGAAGCACATTCAGTATGCTGAACGTTCAGATATACACACAACAAACCATTCCTTTTCTTTGCAGAAAGCACCATCATTTATTTGAACCCTGTGAATGTCACAGTGGCTGTTTTACATCTGCAACACGTACTTCCTGAAAATGGGGTGTCGGCATCCTTAAAGACGGGTGGTAGACCTGTTCCGTATTCTTGCCATTTATGTTTGTGTGAACTAACAGCTCATCTTTTTACTTGGGGAGGACCTCGTTGTTGGGTCGTACTCCTACAGGTGACTTAATGAGGAAGCCATGGAATGACTCCAGCATCCCTTGCTGTCTGAATCTCTCGTTCCTGGGATCACTATTTAACCAAATCCGCTGGGTTCTTGAGATCGGATAGTGAAAGATACTTGTCTGCACAGACTTTGCAGATTTATTTTATTATTTCATTGGATTTTGCTGTTTGAAGAATTTTATGCTTCTTTAGCTTGGCAATATTAATAATAGAAAAAAAAAAGCGCATCGCTCTAGTGTACTGAAGGGGAGCAGCACTGTGTTTTGCACAGTAGTTTTCCAGGGCGGCAGTAAATGTTTTAAAGAGAAATTGCTTTCTTTATTTTATTCCGTACAGCCTGGAGCAAGTTTGGAACAGACACACATTTTTGTACTTGCACATATTCTTAGACGACCAATTATAGTTTATGGAGTAAAATATTATAAGAGTTTCCGGGGAGAAACTTTAGGATATACTCGGTTTCAAGGTAAGCCATTATTCGAGAGTATTTTAGAAGTCTCTTGTTAACTCACCAGGCAGCTTGCAGCCATATCTGGTAACCCCACGGGGATCTTCTTTCCTCCCTCCAGGTGTTTATTTGCCTTTGTTGTGGGAACAGAGTTTTTGTTGGAAGAGTCCCATCGCTCTGGGCTATACAAGGGGCCACTTCTCTGCTTTGGTTGCCATGGAGAACGACGGCTACGGCAACCGGGGTGCTGGGGCTCACCTCCACACCGATGACGACGTTACCATCACCTTCCTGCCCCTGGTCGACAGCGAGAGGAAGTTGCTCCACGTGCACTTTCTTTCTGCTCAGGAGGTAAGAGGGTAGGAGGCGTGGCGCTCCTGTGAACCACCGGAAGTGGTCCCGCTGCCCCAGCCCGGCCCGGGACGCCTCGCCCCGCAGCCTTCTCCACGCTGCCAGCCCCGGCCCTCGGCTCCGCCAGCGCGTGACACGTACCTTTCCTGAGCTGTCTGTAGGTCGTGTGGTGCAGGTGCCGCCATCATGGGAACTGAGGCGGTGGTGGGGGGGTTGCTGCTGAGGAGAAAAACTAGAAAGATGGGGGGCAGGGGGGGCCCGGGGCTCATGATTGCAATCGGGCCGTAACGGGGGGTGTCTGAGGTGATGATGCCTGAAACAAGCCCCGCAAGAGAAGGGAGTCTTGCAGAATATGAGGGAAGAGAGCTGTAGGGAGAGGGAACCTCAGCCCCAGTGTGGTTTGTGGGGAGAGGGGGTTGAGGGGCTCAGGGATGGCAAGGGGCCCACCAACAGCCTTTTAAAGCCTTGGCTTTGACTCTGGGCAAACTGGGAAGCCTGCAGCCCGTCTGTCCGGTAGAGGACCACCGGCTGCTCGGCGTGGAGCCTAGAGGCTAGGTGCCCGGAGCAGTGGTGGGGGCAGCAGCGCCAGCTAGGAGACTACTGCAGATGCAGGGGCGAGGGAGGTATAGACCGGGCAGGGGTGGTGAGGCTGTGCAGGAAGAACATGCTCAGAAAACCCATATTTTTACAAAACTATTGGTCTTTTATTTAATATCCTAGTAGTTATTATAAAACTTTTATAATCAGGACATTAATTAGTAGAACATAATTTTTATAACTTCATTCTGTAAAGACTTTACTGAATAAACTTACCTTGTCATGTGTTTGAAGCTGAGAGTTTGTTTTTCTAGCCTTTTCTTTGCCAAGATCAGTGTATTAGGTAACATTTGGTTTTTCCTGTTTTCAAACAAATTAACTCATTAGTAGGTGGTTTTTCCTCCTGTGAGATTTTCCTGTGAATTTTCCCGTTGATGTTTTTCTGTTTAACCATAGGAAACTGGGTTTTATCATAAAATTGATGAGAGACTGAAACCACGTGAAAAGTTTGTTGCTTTGACCTTTTTGTTAGTAATCCTGCCAGCTATGTTTTCATTAGACTTTTCCTAGCAGGTCTCTGATCTGTGGTATTATTTCCCCTTTTCTTCACATTCCTCTAAAAGCTAGGTAATGAGGAACAGCAAGAGAAACTGCTCAGGGAGTGGCTGGACTGCTGTGTGACCGAAGGGGGGGTGCTGGTGGCCATGCAGAAAAGTTCTCGGCGGCGGAACCACCCCCTGGTCACGCAGATGGTAGAGAAATGGCTTGACCGCTACCGTCAGATCCGGCCTTGTACGTCCCTGTCAGACGGAGAGGAAGATGAAGATGACGAAGATGAATGAAAAAAATCAAAGAGCAGAAGACCAGGGTATCAGCTCTGTGGCGACCCCCAAGCTAGTGTGGTGCACGCTCCAAGCAGAGCGCAAGGCATGGAAGGAACCAGATCTGCCAGGATCTGCCCGGAAGGGCTTTTCTAATCCACACCCAATGGAGATGACGTATCTGCTGTGTGAGGAGACAGAGAACTTTGTTTGGACTACAGTTTGTAAAAAAAGAAGAAAAAAACCTAATTTTATTAAGACAGAACTTTTTTCCTTTCAAATTGTAAATCTGTCTATAAATGTGTAACGCATGTGGTTGTGTAAGAAGTTGTGTAATAGGACAAGTTGTACCAGCATCTTCATATTATTGAGAAGTTTTTTCCAGCACGGGCACCTCCAAAAGCACATGGCAGATGACTCTCTGTTCCTTTGAGATACTTTTTTTGAAGTAGAACCTGGCATTCTACTTCCATCTTAAAAGGCCCACTTTACGTTGAGTCTCATGAGAGCTCATTAGAGATTTGGAAACTTTCTGTACAAATTATCCACAGCAAAACATAAAAATAAAAACAAGCTTTTATTTTATTAATAATTTAGTTCCTGTCATGCCCAATAAAACGAAGTCAAATCTTTAAGGAACAAACTGGAAGGAAAGTAAGAATTATTTGAGTGAACTTCATACAGACGTCATTCCCTTGTTTTGGAAAGGGTTTTGGTTTCTATTATTTCGTCTTTTTTAAGCTTCTGATATGCCCCTTTTCAGTATTTAGGTATTTATTTGTTTGGAAGAGCACCCTTAACCTGAGGGTTCTTCTCCCAGAGTCCGGGCGGCAGTCTCTCTGTGAGTCGTCATTCCCGGGATGTAAGTTAAAAGAAAGAGCCTGGGGAACAGGCCCACTTGTAACTAAATGAATTGTGTGAAATTTGCGCACTTGATTCAATTGACGATGTTATACTCCCAAATTGCCATGCAGAGGGTCTTTGGATTCTACCTTGTATCAACTCTGCTTTAAGCAAATCGTGTTAGAAAGGCATGCCTTTGCTTGGGCTCATTGGGAATCATTGTTAAGTATAGAATAAAGATTTGAAAATGCAGTAAGGTGGAAATGCATTATATAATGAATTTCTCAGAGTAGTCTGAGAATTTTTGCATGTTGGTTAATTGTGGCCATTCTTATTTAAAAGTTAAAACTTATAATCTTAGATAGAAATCTTTTTATAAAAAGTATTATTTGACCACTTCAGGTATATGTTCAATACTGGGTAAAAATTTCAGGCCTATCTCAGGAACACATGAAAGACTTAGTGTCCTGATAAGCACTTTGTAGACTATTAATGTGGCAAGGAATTCGGAAAGCAGCCCCATACACACACACACGCACACTGTTCCTTCCCTTTGATGGAAAGGCTGTGAAAAACCTTTAAATATTTGCTTCTTGTTTCCTTCTAAGTTCTGTTTAGATGGTGTTTGAAATGTGCATCACCTCTAATTTGATGCTGGAATACTAAAAATAGAAAAATACCCATGAGATGTCATGTCTTTAGTTCCTTCTCCCCTCTCGGAACAGTGCAGAGATTCCCGGGTGAGAGGATCACTTGTGCTGTATGCTAAAACTTGCAGGAAACTTTTGCAATTTGATTTCATATAAATGAGTTTTGGTGTAATGGTAAATGTTACTGTTCTAAGTGGCTAGGTTTCCCTACAAATTGACTCTCTGGTTAGCTTTCATTTTGGTAAGTTTTTAGAAGGCTGTCGTTCTGACTACTTAGCATCTCTGTAAACTTTTCTCCATACATAGGAAGAATTCTTTAGTGGGCACAGATCCTATTCTAGTTGCTGTTAAGCAAAATTACCCTCTCAATTGAAGAAGCCAAAGAGAAATGTTTGAGAGAAGTGTCTAGTCACTATGGTCTACGCTGCAGTCAATGCTGTCCAGAAATCATAGGCTCAGTAGTTAGCCTGTGTGTGGTGGTCTGCTGAGTGTTGCTTCCCCTGAGGTGCCTCTTTATTTATTTATTTATGATCAGTGATCCTGACCACACCTAGTTTAACGGGTACAGCATTCTTCCCTGTGGGAAAGGTAGAGCATTGCATTTCCTAGGCTCCAGACAGGGATGGGGCTTTAAATGGTTTTCATAGCAGATTGGCCACTAATGGCCAAAATGTTGGTGAATCAATGCTATGTTAAGCTCTTGAACTATTAAACAGCCATAATTGTTGTCCCGAGATAGAGTACGCAGTCCTTTCTCAAAGATGAGGTCTTGGTTGACTCTGGACAGTAATTACCTTACCTGTATGGACTTAACTTTATCGTTCTTTTTTAGGGAGAATACAGTGTGGTGTTTTCTGTTCTAATTAAACAAAACCTAGGTGCACCATGGATTTGAACTGGCCTTTTTGTTTTTTTACTCTAGGCTCACCGTGTCCCACACTTCATCCGTGTTACGGGAACACTGCTTGCTTTAGGCGGTTGGGAGTCTCCTTTTTGCGCATGTGTTGTCATGCCCTCATTGACAACATTCTGGTTATGACGAGGACGTTCAGCTCCCATTCCGTTTCCTGGAGTGATGGGTCAGTCAGTAACCATGTGCTCCATCTCTACCATAGGAGGTTGTTTTAATGTAATTTTTCTGGGAGGGTTGGGATGGGGCCACCACCTTCAGATGAGGGAGGAGGTTGATGTTTGAAGACCTGATCGTAGCCCCTTCCCCCCTTTTCTTCATGGGAAGGGGAGGAGAAAGGAGTGACAGGGAGTTGGGTACCTGGAATTGGACCTGATGGATGGGTTACTTGCGGATACCACTAGAACAAAGGGATTTAATGCTATTCAAGAAGGAAAATCCTTTAAATCAACTTAAAGTTCTTAACATATGGAAATGGCTGATTTCTTTGTAACATTTCTTTGTAAATATTTAAAAGAATTTTGAGATTCACTTCCCTTCCTGCATTAATGCTTGAGCCAGGTAATTCTGCTTTTGGGTAAATTAAAATCAAAACTCGCTAACTTGACCAATTTTGTTTCTTGAATCGACTTAGTTCCAACCCACTATTTCATCTTGAGGATGTCATGATTTGGTAACGATGGACTTAATGGGCAGTTTTCTGATTTCTGGGTTAAGCTATCACAGGTAATCGCCTGCATATGGGCAGATAGAAAAGTGTTCATTTTTGAACCCGGGAGGAACACGAGTTGAAAACTGGCTAATTGAGAATGTAGTTTGCCTTTAAAACATCTCAAGTAGAGAACATTTACCTGGGTGAGATGTACTTGAATTTCAGAACTTAACAAATTTTTATTACTTTTTATTGAAAACTGCACTGAACGCTAAATGTCCACCTTTACAATAAACAGACACAGTAGCGGGAACTCACACTAAAACAAAACACTTCCGATAGCCATTATTTTTCTGTTTGGGACAGTTTTAAAGGATTTTTTTTTTTTGTCACAAAAACAGGAATGTACCTATACAAAGGCTCAAAATAGGCCATCTTTTAAACAAAAAGGCGATGATTCACAAAAGACTATGAATATAACATGTAACTAGTTGATACAAATCTAATAGGATTTGTTAAAATCAGTCACATCTAATAACACACCTGAAGTGTTCTTGTATAAAATATCACGTGAAGAAAAGAAGATTTATCAATGTCTAAAAAAGTGGGTTTGTTCATAGACAATCTGACAAGTTACCATAAAAAGTGTTTCCTGAGACATAAGGAAATGCAACATTATTTTTCTTGAACTCTTTTAGCTCAAGACTTTCCACTCAATAAAATAGCTGAGGATCTGAAACTGAGAAAATATATTTGAGTACAAACAGCTTGTGAAACTTAATACTTTTTCTTTTTTTTCTTTTTTTTCTTTTTTTCCTTTTTTTGCATCATCAAGAGGGTATCACTGAATTCACAACCAACTCGCCCGCTCAGTATGCAGTTCAGATGGGAGAGAGACTTCTGTACAGGAGCCCGTACGCTTGCGGTGGTCTAACCCGGGCACACAGTTTTCTCCCCCTTCTCTGTAGTAATTTAAATCTTCCTATCAGCAAACGAGGTCACCAGCCCCCATGGACCGAAGGGACTAGAGTCATAGGAGGGGGATTTCCTCTTAGTATTTTTTATTTGACGTTTGGAACTCCTGATGCAACATTCTAGAGCCAGGTGTTCAGGACCTGCTGTGCCCAAGGGGCTGATAAAGGAAAAGGATCTATTTATTCTTTGTGATTGGATGCACAGATGAAGAACGTAACACACAATAACAGAAGTTGGTCGTTAATAAATCACGTCCTAGTCTCTCAGCGCTTCCGTCACCAGATGACAGCTCCAGCCTTCCCACGCCTCGGCTTCGCGCGCTCGTAACACTGCAGCGTCAATGATGCGTATGTCCGGAATCGGTTAAAAAGACGGTCAAAGTCCTTTATCTTAGTTTTATCTATTTTTCACTGTCTCTTGGTCCCAGGTTTATCTGAATGATGACCGTTCGTCATTCTCTGCTATTGCTCATTGGGGTGCTCTCTATTGTCCCCGTGTTTTGTAGGCTGGTTGGGAGAGGGAGCTTGGGAAGGGTGTGCCACTGTGGGGAGGTTGTGAGTCACCGGGATGCCTCCGGGGATGATCCCTTCCATGGCTGCAGGAAGTCCACCGGGAGCCACCCCGACGATGCCTGGCGGGTATCTGGAGCACACAAAGGAAGGGCCAGTAAGTCGGGAGCAGGGAGGAGCAGAGGCCTTGGCTCTGCCTACTTCGGGTTGTTGTTTTTAAAAAGGTGAGTCACTTTACCCCCCCAAAAGCAAGGAGAAATCCACATGAAAAATCTAAAACGCTGACATTTAACTCCTAAACAAAATCTACGCAGTCCAATCAAAACTGCCACGGACCGTGTAGCTTTCACACAATAGGAACAGCCCGCATCACGTCCACGGACACTACTGCATTTGGGAAACATTCTCTTCAAAAAAAGGCTCCCCATTAGAAAGTGTTCGTTACTTGTATCGATGCTTTTAATGATCTCCCAACAGACCAGACCCCAGGCGAGCTAGCTGTGTGCTCTCGGGGCTGGAGCTGTGGGACCAGACCGCGGTGGCAGCAGGGGGAGAGCTGAGCCGGCGAAGACGGCCCTTAGGCCCGGGCGCACGAGCTGCCGAGCGCGCGAGGACACGCCGGCACTAAGCCACCCACAGAACATGCGGTTCTTACGCAAACGCGAGTCCGGGTACTGAAACATGCCTCGGATAAAGCGGACGTAGGAGGCAGGCGCTTTAGAACTAAAAGCCTCGTTCTCACCATTCTCAAACCCTCGACCATGGCTCTCCACCCCGCACCCGGTCACAAGTGCTCCCTGGTTGGTCGGCAACGAAGGACTCCCCAGGATTTGGCGAGCTACAGCCTCTCGAGCGGAAGCCCTACTCCAAGGGGCCAGGGGAGGCTTGGTCTGTCAAAGGGAAGAGTTAACATGGGGCCTTGAAAAGGACAAGCTGCCAACAATAAGGAACAGGAACCCGGGGCCGGGGCAGGTTCAAGTGACGATACCGAAATACTATTAAAAGGGTAAAAAAGAGTGGGACGTTAATAGAAGATGGCAAACCGAAATGTAAATAGAGCCACGAGACCCAGGAAGAAAACCACCTGACTTCCTCAGAGTCTGAGCCTCCACCTATGGGTCCTCCTACACCAACTCTAGTTCCCCCAGCCCTCGCCCCCCTGCCCCCGCCGCCCCGATGGTTAGAGGGTGGTTAGAGCCGTGCCTCACAGCGGGGGAGGTTAGGCAACAGCTCGAGCCATTTTCCTTTATTAGGGTTGCGAGTGCTGGTGGAGGCCAGGGCCACCAAGACGCATCCCACAGTGCAGAGGCTAGGCCCCAGGGGACAATGATCTGGCCGGTAAGTGAATACTGCCAGGGGTGGAGCAACCGTGGGTTACAGCAAGAGCGCAATTTCCTACTGGAATTCAAGGCTGCAGCTCCTTTATAGAGCCGGACTTTGATTTCCCTGTGAGCCCAGCCATGGTCGGGAGAGAGCCATGGGAAACGGGGCGGTGCGGGCTCTGGGCCAGAAGATTCAAATTAGCAAACAAATTCACCAGCAGGCCCTTTCCCCTGAAAATCTTCCCGGTACCTTCTCACGCCCAGAAGCCCTCTGCTTCTGATACGGTTCGGAATGCAGGGGGAGTCCTCACAGCGTTCAGGCCCTCTGGGGAATGCACTCCCAATTCCCACTCCTTATAAATAGGAACCCCAATGCTAGGCTGCATCCTGAGAGTTGTGTTTGCTCCACAGAAACTGGGCAGCGGCACAACTGCGAGGACCGCAGACTTGGTGCAGGGAGACTCCGGTGGTTTCCCCATCTCTCCTCCCCTCCCCCCCGGGGGAGCCCTCCAGCCGAGGCCGGTGCCATTCTGCTTCTCACCTGTACGTGGCGCCGTTGAGCTCCGGATGGATTGCTTGCTGATCTATTACTGACCAGGGAGCTGTTGTGACGAAGAATTCCTTGTTCACACAGTTTCTTAAGCTTTCGGGGATGCGACCTGGAATATGAGGATTGAAATTAATCAGATGTATTTTTTTAAGGTCACAGTTACAGATCACTCTCAGTAGCTGCTGCGGGGGGAACCCCCTACCACGTTTGAACTATGGAAATCTGACGGTAAAGTCTCTTACTCTAGAATGAGAGGGCCGGCCCTTCCATTTTCAGAAAAGGTGCAATGTTGCGGGGCCTGTGCCCTGCGCTCTTCACTCCAGCCCCCGCCCGCCCCCCCCACTGGAACAGAACGGAGCCTCTCCCTGGCTCCCTCCACGCTTGGCACGCTTATGCTGGCTGACTGAAAACGAATCCGTTTCCTCTGAAATTGAGTCCAGGGCTTGGATGAACTGGGTCCAGCTCCTTCCAAATGTAATCAGCTTGATCCCTAAAACCTCCTCTGCCTGTAGTAGCCAGCCTCTGTAAGCCCTCTGGCGTGTTAGCTGAGCCGCAGGGCCCTGGCCGTCCTTCCCACCAGGTGCTGGCTGGCGGGGCCGCAGAGGGCGGGCTCACCTGTGATTGCCCGGCGGATCTCGGTGGCGGCTGCCTCCCGCATCTCTAGTGAGGCTTGCTCACTATACCAAGCGGTGTGGGGCGTACAAATGAGATTCGGTGCATCTTTCAAGGGACCCTGAGCAAAGCTAGATAAATGTACAAAAACACAACAAATGAGAAGAGTTGAGTATCACTCCCTACCCTACTCCTCGAGAGAGAGCTGGTGGCCATGCAGCACACTGACCAGTTAATCTGTGTAGAGAACAGTGGGTAGTACGTCTCCTAAAGGCTGGAAATTTAAGAACATACTGACCAAACCTTCTAAATGAGTGTCAGGAGGGATGAGGGACGCAGGAGGAAGGATCTTCGGAGGATCGGCAGGGCCTGCCTCTGAGCAGAACCCGCAGTCCAGGGGACAGATGAAGCCTGCTCCTCTCTAGACCAACACACCATTTTTCTTCCTTTCAGACATTCGTGGGCCCTCTGGCCCTTTTACACTCCAAGTACAGCCCAGCCCTTGGAGCAGAGGCTGTAGGTCTCTGGTTTCCTCCCCAGGAGCCGCTTCTCTGGGGAAGTGCCCTGCGGTCAGTGCGGGGGGCAGTCAGGGCTAGAAGCAGGCCCCGTGAGTTCCTGGTGTGAGGCTGGGAGCTCGGCTAACGATCGGGTCAGCAGCCCAGCAGACCCACCTGAAAGGCTCCGATTCATGCACGTCGAGGGCTGCCCCTCGTATCCTGCCTTCCTTGAGGGCTTGGGCTAAGGCTTTCTCATCCACCAGCCCACCGCGGGCCGCATTCACTAGGAATGCTCCTTGCCTCATCTGTGGGAGGAAAGCAAGCCGTTAGATGCCACCACGCTGGAAGGCACCTGCCCGGAGGTTTCAAGAAGCCAGCCACGGCCCGGACCAAGGAGTTCTGCTGGTCTGGCTGTTGAGTGCATGTGCGGCTGGGCGGGGGAGGGGCGCAGGGGGTGCCAGCGACAGCTGGGTGGGTTTCTGCGCCGCCTCCGCGGGGCCGTAAGGCGGGCAGGCTGGAGTTGGGGCCTGTCACCTGCCTGCTGCTTCTTGGGAGGCCAAACCTGATTGAGACAGGTCCCTGCTGGGTCCTAGGCCAGCCCCCGTTTGTCCTGGCTTGACGTGGCCCATCCCGTGCTAGGGCCTCACCTGGTCCCTCACTGATGTCCTGGGGGATGGTCTTCCCTTTCCACGCACATGTCCACGGACCACTTCCCTTCCCCTACCCCCCTTTTGTTTGGTTGGAAGTCTCCAGGGGCTGAGGGTATTTATGTCCAGTTACCTGCTTTATAGTAAAGTCATTGATGAGGTGGTGGTTATGTTCGTTGAGATTACAGTGCAAGGAGACGCAGTCGCTCTGATACAGTAAGTCCTGTAGGGTGTAGACCCTCTGCACGCCCAGGGACCGCTCTATCCCATCCTGCAAGTAGGGGTCATAAAATATGACGCTGAATCCAAAGGCCTTGGCTCGAACAGCAACCGCCTGCCCCGTGCGACCTGTGCAGAGAGAGAGCGTCCAGGTGAGCGAGTCCGCAGTCCTGTCCGCTGCCGCCCAGCGCTCCGGATGCCGCGCCTTGTGGGGGCCCCAGCTGCCCCCGCTGCCAGAGCAACCGCGTGCCCAAAGCTTGGTGATGCTCTCCGCCAGTGCGGCTCCTTGGCTTCCTGGGTGAGGAGCGGGGAGCTTGTTGTTTGCAGCGGTGTGCGTGCGCGTGCCCGTGTGCGTGTGTGCATGCGCGCGCGCTAAGGCTCCTGCGATGGACCTTCTCAAACATACAGCTACAGAGGATGTTCTAGTGAATGCCACGTGCCGCTCCCCCCAGTTGCAGCCGGCGCCACAGTCTCCCATCCCCCCTTCTCTCTCCCCGAGGTTTCTGGGTACACAGCAGGCTTCTTAACCTGAGCGTCCTTTCTTGCGACAGAGAGGGCAGTAAGAGAGCACATTCTCTTGCCAAGGAGCACAGGGTTTGCTCACGAAGGGGCACAGGGATTGGAAGGGCCCCCCGCGGAGCGGGAGCCTCACTTTGATGGGGAGGGGGAGCCCCGCACCGGTCGGGTGTGCAGGCTGGTTCTGACCTGCTGGGGGAGCCCCAGGCCCCTCTCTCTAGCGGGTTAGTGGCCCACACCACCTAACCGTCCGGGACGGCCTCCCTGTCTCCGAAGTGGTTGGCATTTGCACAAGCCCACGGCACCCCACGGCTAGCGCCTCCGGCTTCCCAGAGCTGTTTTCGGCTTGAAAACAAAGTGGTTTGCGTGATGCTTGAATAGGCTCCTCTGGGAAGCGTGCAGAATCGTCTTTGAAACCACTGCTCAACGGTGCAAGGGAAGGAGGAGACAAGGGAAGGTATCCCTTCCCAAACGGGAAGCCCACGTGAGGGCACCATGGAGGTGGGCTGTCCCCCACTCCTGCGGGCTGGAGGGCCAGCGGCAAGGCAACCGGTGCGTGCTTGTCCTTCCTGTCCTCCCTCCTCGGCGTCACCACTTGGACGCAGCGCACCCCAGTGGACAGACAGGCACGACAAAGGTGACAAGCTGGAGAAGCACCAGTGGCCTACAACCCCCCTGACGTCCCCGAAGCAGGGGACACACGACCCCATGCTCTCAGCCCACACAGGAACGCCCCCCCCCCCCCCCACCATGTTCTAACGCACTTTGCCTGGAGATGGGGCTTCCCGGCTGTGGCTGCCGGGGCCCGAGCGTGGTTTTCCAGCCTTTCCATCAGTCCCCTAACCCTCATCTTTTCACTAGCTTCTCTGTTAGCCCGGAGGTTTTCTTAAGTTTCGACAAGACCTAGTGAGTTAATTCTGTTACTGACTTGATCAAAACTGAGCCTTGCAGGACAAACCACTTGTCTTGGCCTGAAAAATATAATACATATATCTTGTTGCCACTGGCTGGCTGGCTGTAAGCACCATCCCACCACCAGCCCGGGCTGGGGCCACGCTCAGGGCTGGGCCGCCCCCCGCCCCTCCGGGTGCTGCTGCTCAGCGAAGCCTCAGGCAACCGAACGCTTTCGGAGGGAGGCATCAGGCAGGCTCCGACTACGCCTCCTCCCGTCCGGAGTCCTGTCTGCACTGGGGAAGGCTACAGACAGACCTGAAAGGCAGCAAGGCGACCTCCCCGTCAGAGTGCACGGGGAGCAGGGGCTGAGGCGGTGCTGGCTTACAGTCTCAACTGAACGGGGCTCAAACCATGGGACTGCAAAGGACGGCAAAGGGCTCAGCTGCTGCAGGGGTAAGAACACGCGCCATGTTCTAAGCAGCATCTCCACGGGCCACTGCACAGAGCCACAGGAGGCCCAGCGGGCACCAGCAGAGGGCGCTGCGGTCCTCACACAACGCACCCGCGCTGCCCATGGTCACTTGTGGCGTCCACTTGAGAAAAAGTAAAGAGGACTCCTTTGTAAATCGTTTAGAGGAATGCCTTCGAGAGTGTGATCACCCCTGACACCTGCGTTCTTGAGCTCACCCTGGGGAGTTAGATGCGCCCTCCCCGAAGAAACCCAGCTCCCTCTACCTTGTTCAGGCTGGCGTCCTGACCCCTGGTTTTCTGGAAACAGCTCTAAGGTCGAGCGACAGCTTGGGGTCACGCCCTTCCTGAGGTACAGAGTGGGACACCCAAGCAGAGAGGTCAGTGAATTTCCTCAAGGTCATGGAATGGCCGAGTGGCGGGGCTGAGACTCAGCAGTAAAGCAAGCCCCCCTTTGTGCAGCGCGGGGCCCACCTGAGCCCCTGTGCTGTCAACGTCATCAGGCCGCTTTCCGTCACAGCTCACCTTGTCCTTGGTGACCCGCCCACGACGCTCATAGGGCCGCCAGCCCAAGTGGGCTTTCTAAACTGATGACCTGACCATGCCACCTTCTGGCTCAAAATCCTTCAGGGACTCCCTGCTGCCACCTTGGCCGGGCATTTGAGGGTCTCCAGGGGCTTGGCCTTGATCATGGCCCAGATCTCGGCTCAGACACCAGCCCCCATTCGAGCCCCAAGCCTGCTGGTTTCTCCACAAGGCACCTCCAGCAGCCCCTACCCGGGGCAATCGGCGGGCACACAGCCCCTGCTGTTGCCCAGCGGCGGAGACTGTCCCCTGTGCTGCATGCTCCCCACCCAGCCCTGCAGACCCACCTCCCCGGGGGTGCAGTTGCCTCGTCAGCCTCTGGCTCCCCCAGCAGACAGGGAAGGCCAGCTCCCAGGGGACCGGCCGTTCCCGGGCTCTTCCTCGCTGGGGTGGGGGGGGGGGATGGGGTCCCTGCGCCAGCACCGGTGGGTGGGGGGCGGGCTGGGCAGCTGCACCTACCGAAGCCGATGAGGCCCAGTGTCTCCCCGCGGATGCGGGCTGCTCCCGAGGCCACCTCCCGGATCTGCTCGACGCTCTGGACCCGCGT